AATGAATATACGGCACGTATATATATACATCACCCCATGCAGAGTCTGCGAGATGGGAGTTGATAAGTAGGGTAAAGTAAATACTATAACTTTGTAAAGCAGTACATATTCTTTGTCCGCTTGTATGTTTATTCATGCAAATTTCACGTCGCAAACTCGCGTAAAGCACTAACAAAAACACCAACATATAACGCCACCTGAAAACATATGGTAATACAAGCATGTGCCAACATTAGCTATTTTAAATAATGATGGATTTCGTGATTATCTGGATTTTTTCTCTCAAATGATCTGTTCCTGTAATGGGGTTGACGGGGCCCTTTCATGCTGCATCAGGGGCGGTGTCACCGGACAGAGGCAGCAACAGCAGCGAGGCTAAGCCCAGTAGGGGGCGCATCGCCCATCGCGGTCAGCAGTGGGATTCGGGGTCGTTCATAAATGACGTCACGTGATTTTGGACGATTTTTGACCCCCCCCTCCCTCGTCACACGGCGTCACAAAAAGTCAGACACCCCCCCTCCCTCAAATATGACGTCACAAAGCTCTGCTCCCTCCCCCCCCCCCAAAAAAAAAATATTTCCATTTTTAAAATAAAACATGCTTCAAATAGCTTTAAACTATTGGCATTGTAGTGCGTATTTAATGTGGCGCTGCACCCTGATGTTGTAGGAGAAGACATTTATTTAAAATGTCTATTTAATTAAGTAGAAAGTGTTGTCTATATTTATTTAAAGTTTGCGCATTTTGATGTGACGTCACATTTCTCACACCCCCTCCCCCTCCCCTCGTCACACATCGTCACAAATGTCGAAACCCCTCCCCCTAGGTGTGTGACGTCATTTATGGACGGCCCCCCTGTGTGTGGGGGGAGCGGTCAGGTTTTTGTGTCTCTCTAAACTAATGTCAAAGGTCATATACCGATCTACCGATTATTTGGCGGCTTTTTAAACCACGAAATCCATCATGATTTAAAATGGCTTATTTTTGCACATTCTTGCATGGATGGCATTAAGTATTTAGGTGTTGTTATATGTTGATGTTTTTCGTGTTTTGCATTTTTTACACGATATGAAATTGGCACGAATAAACATACGAATAGACAAAAAAATAAAAATATGCTCTTTGGTTGTTTCGATAAAGTAACGTAGGTAGAAATTTTTAATAAAACAAAAATAATATATCATTATGGATTCGTGCAGTCACGAAAGCTTCAAATAAAATAACACATTCCTGCGGTGGTAGCTGGTAGGAACGTTGGGTTGCTCGGTCAATGGCCAGGGTCAACGGCGGCACCACGTGGTGTATTCCACAAATATGCCCGACTGTGAGGGCGGGCACAAGCCGGCGTGAGTAGGTTAAACGTTGAGTTTTATAAGGGCACCACGGGGTGACCAGCCCCTCCCCACCCAGCCCCACCCCTCCCACCCCCCACCCAGACCCTCCCCACCCAGCCCCTCCCCACCCTCCCCACCCAGCCCCTCCCCACCCTCCCCACCCAGCCCCTCCCCACCCTGCCCTCCCCACCCTGCCCTCCCCACCCAGCCCCTCCCTCCCTACAACAGCCCCTCCCCACCCTCCCCTCTCCACCCAGCCCCTCCCTCCCCACCTAGCCCCTCCCCACCCAGCCCCACCCCTCCCACCCCCCACCCAGCCCCACCCTCCCCACCTAGCCCCTCCCCACCTAGCCCCTCCCCACCCTCCCCTCTCCACCCAGCCCCTCCCCACCCAGCCCCACCCAGCCCCACCCCTACCCACCCTCCCCACCCAGCCCCACCCCTACCCACCTTCCCCACCCAGCCCCTTCCTCCCCACCAGCCCCTCCCCACCCTCCCCTCCCCACCCAGCCCCACCCCTCCCATTTATGGATGCACGACGGACGGACACAATAATCCCCTGTGCGCTGGTGGTGTAACCAGGAGGTTCCTACCAGTATCAATATCATATTTATAAAAAGTTACTGTGTTTATTGTACCGTACTTACCAACTCCCATCTCGAGGACCCTGCATGGGGTGATGTACATACGTGCCGTATTTTCATTGTTTTAAGTTGCATGTAGTGTATAATGTACTGTATATAATATTTACCACTGAAATCAAGCATACTGGTGATAACCTTTGGAACGGGTTTGCCGGTTTCGCCAGATCGACCGGGCACCGCCAGATAACGTTGGAAGCAGACGGATAATCGCGCGGTGCCGGATAATTAATCGACGATTCAACGGAACGTCTCATTCGGCGGTGGCCAATAGGTGGATTGCGATTCACGGGTGGATGGTCGCAAAACGATGGCAGGAGACGTCAAGGAACACGAACAATGGCCATGCAAACAATTGGGCGTTACGGCTGATGGCAAATGACAATCTCCCCCGACTGGTAAGTCAGTAACAACAACAACAACTCATAACGTCAACCAACAGACGGCGCTGGTACTTGACGTTCATGTTACGGGTTCGTTGGGGTTAGGTGATGACACGGGGACACACCCCGAATTAATTAAATAAATATAACAAACACGTACCTGTCAACCCCTTATCAGTGCCATACCTTATTACAGAGCAATTCAGACCTTGTTGGTCACCCCGTGCCCCTTATAAATCTCAACGTTCATCCTACAAAGTCTCCATCACGAGGGAGAAACACAAACAAAGAGACACAGAACATCGTTTTTTTTTCTGCCCGTACTGAAACGGCTGTAACGGCATATGGACCTGAAAACGAATTTTCCCTGTACAAGAATACGGGGCAAACCGTATGGTTTTGACAGCCGTGTAAGCATCAAGGGAAAGAGAACGGGAGAGAGAGAGAGAGAGCGAGAGCAGGAAGATCAAACGGAGAAATGGCTCGATGACGAGAGACGTTGGTGGTGCCAGAAAGACGTGGCCCCGACTTGAAGCATGTTGAAACAAGACAGAGAGAAGTGGAGACAAGTGACAACATGCGTGGTGGACACCTACCCATGGGCTGTCTTGCCCATGGAAAAAAAAAAACGATGAGGATTGTTCGAAGAGTGGCGGGAGAGAGAGAGAGATATTTGGCGGTAAGGGAATGAGGAGTTTACCGAAACCTTCTGGAAATATTGACCGTTCTAAAAAGTGTTAATGTACGTTGAGCTTCACTCTCGCCCCGTACGTAGCCAACTGTGCTCATCGGAATGGTCGTGTCAGAGGCTTCCTGCTGGGTCTTGTCAGAGGCTTCCTGCTGGGTCGTGCAGCCCCTGGTCAAGAGCCGCCTAAACGGAATCACAGTGTTCGTTGTGGGCGAGCTCGCAGCGAAAGCAATTTGGGGGGTGGGGTCCCAAATATGACACGTGGGGGGTAGGGAGGGGTGCAATTTTCGAAGGTAATTGTTGTTTTAGACCAGGGTTGGGGAACGTCCGGCCCGCGGGCCGTATGAGGCCCCGCGAAATCATTTGGGTCTCTGGCCCTGCCAAGGCAACCGCAGGCGGGACTCGAAATTCAACAAATCTCGGAGCAAATCTGGAAAAGCAGTTGCGAGTAGCAACATCGTCAACACCGGCTAACATCATCACACGCCTCGCCAAAGAGAAGCAGTTCCAGCCCATCGCATTAGGGGCGCGTTAATAAAATGTTTGACCAAATATAACGGGTTAATTTTTAAGTTGATTATTTTGTATTGCCCGCGAATGATGTTTTAAATATCCAAATGGCCTTTGGCAGGAAAAAAGTTTCCCCACCCCTGGTTTAGACAATTGTGGGCGATTCGTGGAATGAGTCGATTGGCCGACACGCGCACGCGCCACGTTAAACCAAATGAGCCATCGTCACCCCAGCGCGCGTGAAATGTGAGGTCGTCTCAGTAGGCGTGACACCAACCGTGGTATGCTTACGGGCGCGAGCTTGTTTCCTCCCTGAGCGATATCTGGTGGACCCGTCACTACTGTCTGAATCACAGTTCCTAATTGGCTGAACGCATGCCCAAGTAAGTGATACAATTCGCGATTGGATCACACGGATGATCGCCCCACATCTTTCCAAACGAGTGGAACTTGACACGGGTAGACTGCAACATCGCAAGTCCCTGGTTTCATGATGGTGATAAAGGTACGGATAGTGGTGATGATGGTGGTGATGTTTATGGTGGTGGTGGTGATGATGATGCCGAACTTTATAAATACGGTAACAGCGATCATCATGACGATGGTAGCAGCGGTCATCATAACGATGGTAACAGCGATCAACATCAGGATAATGATCATCATATTGATGATGAAGCTGCATGTGATTACTAATCTATTTTATAATTACGAAACCCGATCCTTCCTCCGCCTCTGACCTCTGCACCTGATGGGTTCAGTGATGACGTCGTCCTGCTGCTGCTGCTGCTCTATTTGAGACCTGAAGCAGGTGGACGGCTTCGCTATTCTGGCAAATCGCGCGATGATGCTGGGTGATGTCATTACCAGCGAAACGTCACGCTACTCAAATTGTAAACGTTGTGGATTTACTCTCCAACACACCGGTGGGCTGAAGTAGTAAACTATTTGGCGCGTTGTGTTTGCGTGACAAATCCCTTACTCGCTGTGTCGGGTGGTGGAGGGTTACGACACATTTATATTTACGCGATCTAACCCAAAAAGCCTTTATTATGAATAATATTGGTCGCGAAAGCCTACGTGTTAAACTGATGCAGGTGATGTTTAAGAAAGTTAGCATTGGCTTCTTTAAAATTATGACATTCGTGGCGGTGGTGATGAAAGTGCAGATGATGGAGGCGATGATGATCATGAGATTATGATGCTGATCTTCATAATGACCGTCATGGTGGTGGTGATGCTCCTGGTGGTGGTGGTCGTGGCAATGCTGATGATGGTAGCGGTGGTGGTAGCGCCGGTGTCACTGGAGTGGTGGTGGTGTCGATGATGATGATGATGCACCATGATGATAATGACGCGAGTGGTTTATGACTGCTGACGATGGTGACGGTGACAATGACGACGGCTAAGACGATGACAATGATGTGTCACGTTGTCTTGCCCGCACCTGGTCTCTCCGTGCTGGGTTCCACGCGTGGACTCAGCCTCATGAGCTCCTCCGCCGTGTGAATGTCCAACCAGTGCTGGAACTCCACGTGCATCTGAAAGTGCAGCGCAGCAGCTTCTCCTTACACGCAGATCCAGCCGCGCGCCACCCACCCCGCCTGCTCACGCCCGATCTAGCAGCGCTAATCCATGATCAGAATATTGATTTACACTGGAGGAATCCGATGAGCTGTAAAGCTCTTGTTTTTAAATAGATGTCCACTCGGATAGGACAGGGGGTCGGCAAAACCATTGCGGCTCTTTACAATACAGAGATTTTAGGTTTTTTTTACCGAAATCCCCCTCCCTAAAAAAAGTCTCCTCTTGATAATAAGGTTTTCCCCTTTTTGTCTGGCAACAAAACAGCTGTGTTAAGATGTTAAAACACCAAACTGAAACCTTTTACAAGGATTCATGCCTGCATTAACCACAATGCTTGTGGTCAGAATGCAAACAAAAAACACATACTCTGATAATATGATGCATTGTCCTTGAAACTGATTGGTCCACACCAGAGACGGCTTTCTTTTGAGCCTCGTCCCAAACACAGGTCAGATATCCTGCCTCTGCGGTTGGCTACCATCTGGGCCACAGTGGCCAGTACAGCCAAGTCTGTTGACGTGCCGTACCCTCTATGCTCCCCGCCTTCACCAATCAGCGCTGACCAGGGTGGTGAAGTATGGTCAAATGACCCCAATGACCCTAATTGCGCGAGGAGGCCCTCATCCAGCATCATCAGTGGTGATGAAAGAAGGCAGCCAGGTATATATGCCCAGGCTCTCGTCGTCGTCAGTTATGATCATGGTCAATCCACTGCTGGATGAATGAATACCTCCCTAAGCCGTCACCATCTCTGACTTGTAACGATCCACCCGGCTGACCTGGAGACGGGCTGATTTCATCGCTCCATCTCCTCGGTGAAACGTCCTTCCCTTGGCTGCCACTCCATCGTTAGTTGTAGCCATGTGATCAATGTGTTGGCTGTGCCACCCACATCATCATGCGTGTCGCATGCAGGCCTTAATAGGTGCTCGCCAACAGCACTGTAGAGGCTTTGAAGGTATTGCGTGTGTGTGTGTGTACGTGCCTGTGTGAGCGGTAGTGTAGTGGTAACAGCGATCATCATGACGATGGTAGCATCAACAACACCAATGACGATTATCTGAACTGGTCATGGGCCTCCCCTAGGTCGACTCAGCCTCAAAATAGTACCTGGTCTTGTGTGCAAACATCACCATGAGGGAGACAAATGCGTGGTGCTGGCCACCAACCCCCTCGCGTGGCGTGCCGGCCTTCATAGATGTCGGCTAAACAGCACTTGGCCCAACAGTCTGTTCAGGCTACACGGGGGATCTTTGTCTTTGTGCGTATAATTACATGTCCCATCTGCACGTGGGTGTCCCACAGCGTCTGCGCGTAGGTCTGAAGGAAGGACCTCATCTGCGTGACGTGCGACTTTTCCAGTGTGTGGAACTTCTGGTCAGCGGGGGACAGGGAAACATGGAGACACGGAATCATGGAGACATGAGACAGGGAATCATGGAGACACGAGACACGGAATCATGGAGACATAAGACACGGAATCATGGAGACACAGAATCATGGAGACATGAGACACGGAATCATGGAGACATTAGACAGGGAATCATGGAGACACGGAATCATGGAGACATGAGACAGGGAATCATGGAGACAGGGAATCATGGAGACATGAGACACGGAATCATGGAGACACAGAATCATGGAGACATGAGACACGGAATCATGGAGACATTAGACAGGGAATCATGGAGACACGGAATCATGGAGACATTACACAGGGAATCATGGAGACACGGAATCATGGAGACATGAGACACGGAATCATGGAGACATGAGACAGAGAATCATGGAGACATGAGACACGGAATCATGGAGACACAGAATCATGGAGACATGAGACAGGGAATCATGGAGACAGGGAATCATGGAGACATGAGACAGGGAATCATGGAGACACGAGACACGGAATCATGGAGACATGAGACAGAGAATCATGGAGACATGAGACACGGAATCATGGAGACATGAGACAGAGAATCATGGAGACAGGGAATCATGGAGACATGAGACAGGGAATCATGGAGACACGAGACACGGAATCATGGAGACATGAGACAGAGAATCATGGAGACATGAGACAGGGAATCATGGAGACAGGGAATCATGGAGACATGAGACAGGGAATCATGGAGACATGAGACACGGAATCATGGAGACATGAGACAGAGAATCATGGAGACATGAGACACGGAATCATGGAGACATGAGACAGAGAATCATGGAGACATGAGACAGGGAATCATGGAGACGGAATCATGGAGACATGAGACAGGGAATCATGGAGACATGAGACACGGAATCATGGAGACACGGAATCATGGAGACATGAGACAGGGAATCATGGAGACACGGAATCACGGAGACATGAAACAGGGAATCATGGAGACACGGAATCATGGCGACATGAGACACGGAATCACGGAGACATGAGACAGGGAATCATGGAGACATGAGACACGGAATCATGAAGACACAAAATACGGAATCATGGAGACACGGAATCATGGCGACATGAGACACGGAATCATGGAGACATGATACAAGAAATCATGGAGACATAAAATTACGGAGACAGGGAATCATGGAGACAGGGAATCATGGAGACATGAGACAGGGAATCATGGAGACATGATACAAGAAATCATGGAGACATGGAATTACGGAGACAGGGAATCATGAAGACAGGGAATCATGGAGACATGAGACAGGGAATCATGGAGACATGAGACACGGTATTATGGAGACACGGAGTCATGGAGACGCAGAGATACGGAGACAGACACATTGAGCCAAAGATACAGAGATACGAGGACATAAGAGACATGGAGATATGGACTCATTCAGAAACCATGAGCCACCACACATTTTCATAATGAACACAATCTCATCATCTGCATTATTATTACAACAGTGGGTGGAATGGGTGAGTGTGTTGTTGTGATCTGCAGTGTGGTGGTGGCTAAACACAGTGCGGAGATATAAATAATAATCATAATAATTCCAACTTGTAACGAGGAGGGAGCGCAGGCAAGCAGGAAGGCAGAAGCCACACGGTGAGCGAGCTCCAACAATTGCTCAAGCTCTGCAGTCCTCTGTATATATTAAGATGGTGTCAGCCAATTATTGAGTGTTTACATGTGGAAGGAAACCGGAGCACCCGGAGAAAATCCTCGCGTGTGAGGGGGAAACACTCTATCCCATGCTGACGGAACAGGTGGGGTATTGTTGTGTGCCGCATTCTCCCAGCGTGCCAGGGGCATGGCTCCTCCTCCTCCTCGGCCCACCCACGAGAAGGGGAGTTTCACGACATTTGGTGTGCGATCGACCCACCCACTCGTGCGAGGGAGAAACACTCTATCCCACCCAGACGGAACAGGTGGACTCCTCCACATTATTGCTGTACCGCTAGCGCAGCTCCTGCGCGACGCCCCACCCAGCCACCCACGGGATGGGAGTGCGCGATCCACGGACATTCACCGCCGCAGTCCCCGCGCGTGAAATGCATCGAGTCATCGTCGGCGTGCTGTGCATGGTTACGTGGTGCACGGGGGGGGGGGGGGGGGGGGGCGGGGGGGGGGGGGGCATGCGCAATGGGGCCATCGTCGCGCTCCACCTGTGCCGTGGAGGCGACGCGCTGCTCGAACGCGGCCCGGAGCGTGCGGTAGCGCTCGAGACGGCGCCGGTAATCCTCGCCCGACTTCTTACACTTGCTCTCGGCCTGCGACGCAGAGAGACAGATATATGGGGTGGGGCGGGGGGAAGTTTGGAACAATCGTAGCACGCGCTCGGATTCTGCAGTAACAGCTTTCGAATGTATGTACGTATGTATGTTGCACTTCTTTCGCACCATACGTAGCCAACCCAAAAAGCAATTTTAAAAGAAATTAGTTTCGTCAATCTGGATGATGGTTTTAAAGTGCATTGCTCCGGTGGCTTCCTATTATCGGAAGGAAGCGCGTTCCAGACGGCCCGCGGAAGCGCATCCCTAAAACCCGCGGCGCGTTGGCCGCCGTCGTTCGAAACGGCCAGCCAAATCGTGCGTCCTGTCCGCGGAAGCGTCGGATCAGCGACGGCTGAGCGGCAGGGCGGAGGTGGCGACGAGACGGCGGGGGGCTCGGCCCCCCCGGGGTGGCGACCGCTATCCGGCGGGTTCGCTCCGCCGAGTTGAGAGAACGTCGCGGGCCGCCGTCGGCGATGGAGGGGATCGGTTGACACGCGAGGGAAATTATTGACGATGGCGGTTGGGCGGTTGGCGGTTGGGCGGTTGGCGGTTGGGCGGTTGGCAGTTGGCGGTTGGGCAGTTGGCGGTTGGCGGTTGGCGGTTGGCAGTTGGCGGTTGGCAGTTGGGCGGTTGGGCGGTTAGCTGTTGGCAGTTGGTGGTTGGATGGTGGCATCGTGGGGTGGTGGCAGGGACGGCGACGGCATGGGGAGGCTTTAGTCCAGCAGTGGATGGACCATAGCTGTTGCTGATATTTATGATGATGATGGGGAGTGAAAGTGCTGAGCCGGGCTTTTTCCTTCATTGCCCGCGATGCAATGGGAACAAGAGATGAATTACTGGCGAAACGTCGTTGCTCATATTGTAAAGGTTGTGGCTTGGCTCTCCAACAAAGCAGCGGCGAGTGCTGTACGTGTGACGAATTGGCCACGTTCTGTTTACGTGACGAACCTTTACTAGTTGCCTGTGTTGGGTGGTGGCAGGTTTAACGACACATTTATATTGACGCGATCTAACCCACCCCCCCCCAAAAAAAAAAACAACAACTCTATTATGGATGATATTGGTTGCAAAAGCCTACCTCGTGTAAAATGATCAAGAGAGTTCTCATTCTTTGCCGGTCGCGAAGAAGAGAGAGAGAGAGAGATATTGGGCATCCTTCGTAGAACTATAAAGGGAGCGCGAACAGATGCATTCTTAAGAGAAGCAGAGGACAGAGAGGAGAGGCATGCGTTGAGGAGAAGAGCGAGATAATGCGGGAGGGAGATAGGAGAGAGGTGATCCAATGGTAGCTCGAATCGGAGCTTGGTCTGTTAAGAAGACAGATTCGAGAGAGAGAGAGAGGATGTGATGTGTTTATGAGAGAGTTAGAAGAGAAGATAGCTCTGAGAGGCATCTATTTAAAAGAGAACGTGATATGTAATCACGAGATGAGTGAGATGGAACAGGGAGATAGGAGGAAAGGGATGTACTGCATCGACGTACAGCCCTTGCACTTACGCACAAGCCAGCTGATGCGATTACAACGAGACCATTCTGTAAAGCGACATTGCCGATTATTTATTCTTTCAAGAGCGTCCTCCACTTGTCCAGCTGCTGCACCCCAGCTGTGTGTTGCGGGGGTGGGGGGTGGTAGGGATGGTGGTGGAGATCGTAGTGGGGGTACGGCGATGGTGGTGGTGGTGGTGTCGGCGGTGTGATTGCGATCAGCCAACCCACGGATCAGCCAGCCCATGGCACCTGCAGGGTCTGTCCCGAGACCTCCTGTCAGCAGCGGCGCCTTCGACACTTCACTCGGTAGCCTCAAGGTGCACCTGGCCTGGCACAGGCGCCGTGGGGACGTCATCGTCGCTTAGTGGCGAATGACGTGGTATTGGTGAAGTGGTGGTGGCGGTGGTGGCACGGTGGGCACCGTTTACCCTCTGCAGGGCGTGGGAGGCGGCTCCCTCCCTGCGGAGCCTCTCCAGGTCGGCGCTGCGGGACTGGAGTCGCGAGCGATCGCGCTGCAGGGCGAGCACGGCGCCGTTGAGACCCTGCAGGGAGTCGAGCGTGCGGGACGCCTCCTCCTTGGCCTGCGCCCGCAACAAACACAACGGGGGAGCGGCGGTTACCGGGGAGGGGGTTACCGTGGAGCGGGTTACCGGGGAGGGGGTTACCGGGGAGGGGGTTACCGGGGAGGGGGTTACCGGGGAGGGGGTTACCGGGGAGGGGGTTACCGTGGAGGGGGTTACCATGCCGGTAAACACTCGCGTTGAGATCATTTGGCTGCTACTGTGAATTCCCACGCGCTATGGCAGTCATTCCATCGGCCACAGCGATGATGATGAGATATCATCATCATCATCACGCGTGGCCAGGTCGCCTCTCAAATAAACTTATAGCTCAGTGGGGGGGGGGAGGGAGAGAGGGGGGAGGGGCAAAGGGAAGAGAGGGCAAAGGGGAGAGGGGGGAGGGGACAAAGGGGGGAGGGGATGAGGAGGGGGGAGGGGGTGAGGGGAGAGGGGATGAGGAGGGGGGAGGGGAGGAGGGGGGAGGGGATGAGGAGGGGGGAGGGGAGGAGGGGGGAGGGGATGAGGAGGGGGGAGGGGAGGAGGGGGGAGGGGATGAGGAGGGGGAGGGGAGGAGGGGGGAGGGGATGAGGAGGGGGGAGGGGAGGAGGGGGGAGGGGATGAGGAGGGGGGAGGGGGTGAGGGGGGAGGGGATGAGGAGGGGGGAGGGAATGAGGAGGGGGGAGGGGGTGAGGGGGGAGGAAATGAGGAGGGGGTGAGGAGGGGGTGAGGGGGGAGGGGGTGAGGAGGGGATGAGGAGGGGGTGAGGGGGTGAGGGTGAGGGGTGCTCCGTGCTGGTCGTGACCTGTCTCTGGGTGCGCCCGTGGCTGTCTGCGTGTGCCGCCACTGCACGTGCCACCTCGTGCAGGCGGCGCGCCAGCTGCTGGTGGCAGGCGCCCTGCTTGTCGCCCAGCGCACGCAGGGAGGCCCAGAGCGGCACCAGCGGCCTGGGGCGCACCACCACCACCACGACAATGATGGTGGTGGTGATGATGACGATGATGTAACAGCAATACACGACAATGATGTCAATGGACAACAACAGTGATGATGGTTACATCAATAATGGCAACAATCATTGAGGACAGCAAGAACAACAACGGCAGGAGATACGACAGCAGTGACAGCGACAACAGCTATAACCACAACAGCAGGGATAACAACAATCAACCTCGCAATCAAAGTAGTCTTTACGTCCCACTCTGAGCTGTGAAGAGTGCGGCGCGTGGTATTTTTTACGATGAACGCGCCCGCAGTATTTGCCAGGGTGGCCGTGGGCTCACAACGGCCGTGTCGCCTCCACAATTGTGCGATTTCGCTTCATAAACGAGCGGCGGTGGTTACGACACAGCGGGTTTTCGCTGTAACGTGGTTCGTCTATTGGGGGGACACTTTTCGCACAACGTGGAACGCAAGCCCTGTTATAACGTGGAACGCGAGCCCTGTTATAACGTGGAACGTGAGCTCTGTTATAACGTGGAACGCAAGCCCTGTTATAACGTGGAACGTGAGCTCTGTTATAACGTGGAACGCAAGCCCTGTTATAACGTGGAACGTGAGCTCTGTTATAACGTGGAACGCGAGCCCTGTTATAACGTGGAACGCAAGCCCTGTTATAACGTGGAACGTGAGCTCTGTTATAACGTGGAACGCAAGCCCTGTTATAGCGTGGAACGTGAGCTCTGTTATAACGTGGAACGCGAGCCCCGTTATAACGTGGAACGCGAGCCCCGTTATAACGTGGAACGCGAGCCCCGTTATAACGTGGAACGTGAGCTCTGTTATAACATGGAACGTGAGCTCTGTTATAAAAACGGATTGGATGAGTGAGTAAGTGATTGGATGGGTGATTGATTGGTTGCGTGATTGGGTGATTGAGTGATTGCATGAGTGAGTGAGTGAATGGATGAGTGAGTGATTGGATGAATGAGTGATTGGATGAGTGAGTGATTGGATGAGTGATTGATTGGTTGAGTGATTGGGTGAGTGATTGGATGAGTGAGTGATTGGGTGAGTGATTGGATGAGCGAGTGATTTGATGAGTGAGTGATTGGATGAGTGAGTGAGTGATTGGATGAGTGAGTGATTGGATGAGTGAGTGAGTGATTGGATGAGTGAGTGATTGGATGAGTGAGTGAGTTATTGGATGAGTGAGTGATTGGATGAGTGAGTGAGTGATTGGATGAGTGAGTGATTGGATGAGTGAGTGATTGGATGAGTGAGTGAGTGATTAGATGAGCGTGTGAGTGATTGGATGAGCGAGTGAGTGATTGGATGAGCGTGTGAGTGATTGGATGAGCGAGTGAGTGATTGGATGAGTGAGTGAGTGATTGGATGAGTGAGTGATTGGGTGAGTGTCTGGGTGGGTGCCCCAACAGTCTGTTCGGGCTATCCGGGGGATCTTCGCCTTTAGCACCTTGACGCGTCACTTTTCCAGGGACGCGCCTGCCACACTGAACCTGTCCCCACTGAACCTGTCCCCACTGAACCTGTCCCCACTGACCCTGTCCCCACCGATCTTGTCCCCACTGAACCTGTCCCCACTGAACCTGTCCCCACTGAACCTGTCCCCACCGATCCTGTCCCCACTGAACCTGTCCCCACTGAACCTGTCCCCACTGAACCTGTCCCCACTGAACCTGTCCCCACTGAACCTGTCCACTCCAAACGTGAGCCACTCGCACGCGGCCCCCGGCTGAGCATCGCGAGCTCACCCGTTGTGGTTGTTGGTCGCGGCCATACGAGACAGCTTGCTGTGCAACTTGGAGCAGGACTCTTCCACTAGTGCCCTAGTGCGGGGGGTGGGGGAGCAGGGCGGGGTGGTGGAGGATGGAGTGGGGGGGGAGCGGGGCGGGGTGGTGGAGGATGGAGTGGGGGGGGGATGGAGTGGGGGGGTTATTAAGAGAAGAGAACCGTCAATGCAAGTTCACTGTGGAGGTAAAGGCGCAGCCCTGCAACGGCCTGCTCACACGACTGCTGGCGAACGGGCCTCCACTGAAGGGAGCTCAATAACGTGCCTACACTGCCCCCCCTCCTCACCGCCCCTGAGGAGTATTTGGCCTACTCTTCCCCCTGCATGCATCGGCACCACTGAATCCACGCGAACTGCTTCGGTGTCAGGTTGTCGCAGCTCTCTCCCATCGACGCATTTTCGGGTTTCCCTACGAGCCTCTCGGCGTGAGGTCCGACGTTCAGCTCCGTGTGCTGATTCAGTTCCTGGCTTTGCGCCCCCCCCCTCCCACCTCTCACCACCACCCACCTCAGCGCGTGCAGCGAGATCGACGTTTCGCTGCACGAACCAAACACAGCCCCGAGAGAGCTGAGCAGCGAGGTCCTGGTGACTCTGGCATGGAGCGGTGGCTCAGCGGTTAGCGCGCCGCACTACGAACCCCGGCGACCCGAGTTCGATTCCCGCTCATGGCTGTTAAGGAGTGGAAAATATTTGAATTGGTGCTGGGGCCTCCCCTAGGTCTGCTCGGCCTTCAATGAATACCCAGCGCGGTGTGTAACCTTCAGCACTGGGGAGACAAAGGTGACCTGGGATAACGTTGTTAGGCACCCAAAACAGAACCCTTTCACGTTGCTGGGTCGGCCTTCAAAGGTGCTCGCGAACAGCACTTGCCCCAACAGTCTGCTGAAGGCTATATGGGGAACTTCGTCGTTTGTTTTGCATATGAATGGGTGCATGGAAAATCCTCCCACAGCCTTCAAAAGCGGAAATGCTACGAATGGCCACGGTGCAGACCAACAACCACGTAGTAGCGAACCACTTTGAACTCTATGCGTGACTATGGGTCTCTGTGTGTGATCACATAACAGTGAACCACTGTGAACTCTATGCGTGTCTATGGGTCTCTATGTGAGGCCACATAGCAATGAACCAATGTGAACTCTATGCGTGTCTATGGGTCTCTGTGTGTGATTACGTAACAGTGAACCACTGTGAACTTTATGCGTGTCTATGGGTCTCTGTGTGAGGCCACATAAGAGTGAACCACTGTGAACTCTATGCGTGTCTATGGGTCTCTATGTGTGATCACGTAACAGTGAACCACTGTGAACTCTATGCGTGTCTATGGGTATCTGTGTGTGATCACAAAACAGTGAACCACTGTGAACTCTATGTGTGTCTATGGGTCTCTGTGTGTGATCACATAACAGTGAACCACTGTGAACTCTATGCGTGTCTACGGGTCTCTGTGTGTGATCACGTAACAGTGAACCAATGTGAACTCTATGCGTGTCTATGGGTCTCTGTGTGATCACGTAACAGTGAACCACTGTGAACTCTATGCGTGTCTATGGGTCTCTGTGTGATCACAAACAGTGAACCACTGTGAACTCTATGTGTGTCTATGGGTCTCTGTGTGTGATCACGTAACAGCGAACCACTGTGAACTCTGTGGGTGTCTATGTGTCTCTGTGTGATCACGTAACAGTGAACCAATGTGAACTCTATGCGTGTCTACGGGTCTCTGTGTGTGATCACGTAACAGTGAACCACTGTGAACTCTATGCGTGTCTATGGGTCTCTGTGTGAGGCCACGTAACAGTGAACCACTGTGAACTCTATGCGTGTCTACGGGTCTCTATGTGTGATCACGTAACAGTGAACCAATGTGAACTCTATGCGTGTCTATGGGTCTCTGTGTGTGATCACGTAACAGTGAACCAATGTGAACTCTATGCGTGTCTACGGGTCTCTGTATGTGATCACAAAACAGTGAACCAATGTGAACTCTATGCGTGTCTATGGGTCTCTGTGTGATCACGTAACAGTGAACCACTGTGAACTCTATGCGTGTCTATGGGTCTCTGTGTGTGATCACATAACAGTGAACCAATGTGAACTCTATGCGTGTCTACGGGTCTCTCTGTGTGATCACGTAACAGTGAACCACTGTGAACTCTATGCGTGTCTATGGGTCTCTGTGTGTGATCGCAAAACAGTGAACTAATGTGAACTCTATGCGTGTCTATGGGTCTCTGTGTGAGGCCACATAAGAGTGAACCACTGTGAACTCTATGCGTGTCTATGGGTCTCTATGTGTGATCACGTAACAGTAAACCACTGTGAACTCTGTGTGTGTCTATGGGTCTCTGTGTGTGATCACAAAACAGTGAACCACTGTGAACTCTATGCGTGTCTACGGGTCTCTGTGTGTGATCACAAAACAGTGAACCACTGTGAACTCTATGCGTGTCTATGGGTCTCTGTGTGATCACATAACAGTGAACCAATGTGAACTCTATGCGTGTCTATGGGTCTCTGTGTGATCACGTAACAGTGAACCACTTTGAACTCTGTGCGTGTCTATGGGTCTCTATGTGTGATCACATAACAGTGAACCAATGTGAACTCTATGCGTGTCTACGGGTCTCTGTGTGATCACGTAACAGTGAACCACTTTGAACTCTGTGCGTGTCTATGGGTCTCTGTGTGATCACGTAACAGTGAACCACTTTGAACTCTGTGCGTGTCTATGGGGCTCTATGTGTGATCACGTAACAGTGAACCAATGTGAACTCTATGCGTGTCTATGGGTCTCTATGTGTGATCACAAAACAGTAAACCACTGTGAACTCTGTGTGTGTCTATGGGTCTCTGTGTGATCACATAACAGTGAACCAATGTGAACTCTATGCGTGTCTATGGGTCTATGTGTGTGATCACGTAACAGTGAACCAATGTGAACTCTATGCATGTCTATGGGTCTCTATGTGTGATCACATAACAGTGAACCACTGTGAACTCTATGCGTGTCTATGGGTCTCTATGTGTGATCACATAACAGTGAACCAATGTGAACTCTATGCGTGTCTATGGGTCTCTGTGTGTGATCACGTAACAGTGAACCAATGTGAACTCTATGCGTGTCTATGGGTCTCTGTGTGAGGCCACATAACAGTGAACCACTGTGAACTCTATGCGTGTCTATGGGTCTCTGTGTGTGATCACAAAACAGTAAACCACTGTGAACTCTGTGTGTGTCTATGGGTCTCTGTGTGTGATCACGTAACAGTGAACCAATGTGAACTCTATGCGTGTCTACGGGTCTCTATGTGTGATCACATAACAGTGAACCACTGTGAACTCTATGCGTGTCTGTGGGTTTCTATGTGTGATCACATAACAGTGAACCAATGTGAACTCTATGCGTGTCTATGGGTCTCTGTGTGTGATCACGTAACAGTGAACCAATGTGAACTCTATGCGTGTCTACGGGTCTCTGTGTGTGATCACGTAACAGTGAACCACTGTGAACTCTATGCGTGTCTACGGGTCTCTATGTGTGATCACGTAACAGTGAACCAATGTGAACTCTATGCGTGTCTACGGGTCTCTGTGTGATCACGTAACAGTGAACCACTTTGAACTCTGTGCGTGTCTACGGGTCTCTATGTGTGATCACGTAACAGTGAACCAATGTGAACTCTATGCGTGTCTATGGGTCTCTGTTCGTCTCTGTGTGTGTCTGTTCGTCTCTGTGTGTGTGTCTCTGTCCGTCTCTCTGTGTGTGTGTGTCGGTTCGTCTCTGTGTCTGTATGTCTGTTCGTTTGTGTTTCTGTTTGTCTCTGTCTGTGTGTCTCTGTCCGTCTCTGTGTGTGTGTCGGTTCGTCTCTGTGTCTGTGTGTCTGTTTGTCTGTGTGTATGTCTGTTTGTCTCTCTGTGTGTGTCTCTGTCCGTCTCTGTGTGTGTGTGTCGGTTCGTCTCTGTGTCTGTGTGTGTGTGTGTCTGTTCGTCTGTGTGTGTGTCTGTTTGTCTCTCTGTGTGTGTCTCTGTCCGTCTCTGTGTGTGTGTGTCGGTTCGTCTCTTTGTCTGTGTGTCTGTGTGTCTGTTCGTCTGTGTGTGTGTCTGTTTGTCTCTCTGTGTGTGTCTCTGATCGTCTCTGTTCGTCTCTGTGTGTGTCTATTCATTTCGCCTGAGTTTGCTGTGCATGGTGAGTATGGGGGGCTGGGGGGTTGGACTAAAGGGGAGGCGGGTTGGGGGGCTGGGGGGGGGGGTGGGGGGGATGAGGGGGGGTTTGGGGGGGGGGGCGCAGGGCTCTCACCTCTCCCGGAGCAGCTCAGAGAGGTCACGGCCGTCCCCGTGAGCGGCTCGCATGTTCAAGTAGAGGCCCTCAAATCCCAGGTGCCGCTCTCCCTGGGTGGTTGTTGCACAAAGAGGGGGGGGGGCAGAGGCAGAGCCGGTTAGCACGGTTGTGCTATGTACGGTGCGAAAGAAGTTCAACGTACATACAAATATAAACTTATTTTATTTTACCAGGTGAGGCCCCGTAGCTCTTTTTTTCAGAAGCGACTTGGACACCACAAATGCTCAACAAAGTGGCGAATCGTCATCACGTGGAAATTTAAAGCAGCCAAATACTCTTAAACGCGCGATGTTGATTATAAAAGTGGAGGAGAAAACCGGAGGACCCGGAGAAAAATCCACGCAACCACGGTAGGAGAGAGACACCGCAGACTCCAAATATACAGCAGCAGGCGTCAGGGTCGGGATCGAACCCACGACCTCCTGCCTATCAGGCAAGACAGTTAACATCTCGCCACCGTATTAACCAGGGATAACCACTGTATCGAACCGCGAACCTCTGCAACAAGCGGCGAACCCGCAAAGCGCCAGGCCCACCGTCACCACCACCATCACCACCACCACCATCACCACCATCACCACCATCACCACCATCACCACCACCATCACACAACTACAGCACAGCGCCCCCCCCCCCCTCTCCTTCTTGCATGAGGACCTCCCCCTTAGCCATACTTCACTGTGCTGGTGATCGCGTACTCCGTTACACTATAACCACTATAACACCGCTCCGCCTTCGTATTCACGAAGGTGGTACTACGCTACACACACAAGACGAAGATCCCCCGTGTAGCCTTAACAGGCTGTTGGGACAAGTGCTGCTCGCGAGCACTTTGAAGGCCGGCACGGCACACGAGGGGGTGGCCAGCAACCACGCCCGGCCGCCTTACACACTCATTTGAGGCTGAGTTGACCTAGGGGAGGCCCAGGACCGGTTAAAATAATCGTCACCGGTGTTGGCGATGAGCGGGAATCGAACCCGGGTCGCCAGGTTCGTAGCGCAGCGCGCTAACCGTAACACTACCGCTCCACACAAACACACACACGCATACACACGCATATGTAACATTGCGATAACGACTATGATGGACTGTGCTGATGGTGGTGCAGGTGGTAACAGAGTAATTGTCTTCACGATGGTGCGAGCGGTGATGATGATGCTCATGAATACAGTGAGGGAAAAAAGTATTTGATCCCCTGCTGATTTTGTACGTTTGCCCACTGACGAAGAAATGTTCAGTCTATCATTTTAATGGTAGGTTTATTTGAACAGTGAAAGACAGAATAACAACAACAAAAATCCAGAAAAACGCATGTCAAAAATGTTATAGATTGATTTGCATTTTAATGAGGGAAATAAGTATTTGACCCCTCTGCAAAACATGACTTAGTACTTGGTGGCAAAACCCTTGTTGGCAATCACAGAGGTCAGACGTTTCTTGTAGTTGGCCACCAGGTTTGCACACATCTCAGGAGGGATTTCGTCCCACTCCTCTTTGTAGATCTTCTCCAAGTCATTAAGGTTTCGAGGCTGACGTTTGGCAACTCGAACCTTCAGCTCCATCCACAGATTTTCTATGGGATTAAGGTCTGGAGACTGGCTAGGCCACTCCAGGACCTTAATGTGCTTCTTATTGAGCCACTCCTTTGTTGCCTTGGCCGTGTGTTTTGGGTCATTGTCATGCTGGAATACCCATCCACGACCCATTTTCAATGCCCTGGCTGAGGGAAGGAGGTTCTCACCCAAGATTTGACGGTACATGGCCCCGTCCTTCGTCCCTTTGATGCGGTGAAGTTGTCCTGTTCCCTTAACAGAAAAACACCCCCAAAGCATAATGTTTCCACCTCCATGTTTGACGGTGGGGATGGTGTTCTTGGGGTCATAGGCAGCATTCCTCCTCCTCCAAACACGGCGAGTTGAGTTGATGCCAAAGAGCTCCATTTTGGTCTCATCTGACCACAACACTTTCACCCAGTTGTCCTCTGAATCATTCAGGTGTTCATGTGCTTTCTTGAGCAGGGGGACCTTGCGGGCGCTGCAGGATTTCAGTCCTTCACGGCGTAGTGTGTTACCAATTGTTTTCTTGGTGACTATGGTCCCAGCTGCCTTGAGATCATTGCCAAGATCCTCCCGTGTAGTTCTGGGCTGATTCTTCACCGTTCTCATGATCATTGCAACTCCACGAGGGGAGATCTTGCATGGAGCCCCAGGCCGAGGGAGATTGACAGTTATTTTGTGTTTCTTACATTTGCGAATAATCGCACCAACTGTTGTCACCTTATTCTTAGCTCTTTCGGTAAAGTCACGTTGAAGGGAAACAATAAAATAATAAAATATATAAAACAATAAAAATTCACACGACGTTTCGACCATAACACAAACGGTCGTCATCAGGTGTGTCAGTTTGCATAAATTTTTTTTATTTTTAAACGGTGTATTTATTTATTAAAAAAACGTCAGCGCCACGCGCAGCGATTTGGCAGTTTATTTAGAAGGACGAGTCCATCTATGTTCTGAAAAGAGGAGGGGGGAGACGAAAAATTAATGTATGCTGTCTCAAAGCCACTGTAAGCGTGAACAATCAATTAAGACCTGAAATGGTTTATCAAATCTTTCCAATGATTGCTAAGCCAGAATCCATCTTCTCGGTTGAAATTGTCTCTGTGCTTGTATATGTGGATAGCCTCATGAACGAATCTCTCATGGTAGCCAGATGGCTTACAAAGAACCTCTGTCTTGGAAAAGTCAATGTCATGTGAGCCTACTGAATTATAACAATGATCTGCCACGGCCGAGGTGTTGGTCCTACCGTGTTTAAGGTCTGCTTTGTGTTCACGAATGCGGTCCGAGACATGGCGTTTGGTTTCTCCAATGTAACTACTACCACAGAGGCAACTTAGTTTGTAGACACCAGGGTACTGTATGTCCGGAATCACATCTTTTACAGACGGAACCAGATCACGGATTTTATGTAATGTGTTGAAACGGACCTGGGTCTTGTGTTTATTCAAGATTTTTGAGATCTTTTTTGTGATCCCCGCAATGTATGGTAAAGTGATGGTTTTGAAAGGCTCCTCAAGAGGGTCCTTCTTCATGGTTTGAGTGATAGCTTTGCGGATTGTATAGTCGGAGTAACCATTAGCCTTAAGAGCTTGGTGTACGTGCTTGAGTTCACTACCTATGTGTTCCTGGTCGGATATGCATTGGGCTCTATGATACAGAGTCTTGATGAGCGAATTCTTCTGTAATGGATGGTGGTGGGAATCCGGTTTCAGATACGCATCCGTATGGGTAGCTTTCCTGTAGACAGAGTGGCTCATTGAACCATCAGGTCTCTTTTTAATTAGGACATCCAAAAAAGGTAGCTTGCCATCTTTTTCGACTTCCAAGGTAAATCTGATGGCTGGGTGTATGGAATTGATGTGGTCGAAGAATTGGTCTAGAGCAGGCCGGCCATGTGGCCAGATGACAAAAGTGTCATCCACGTACCTCTTCCATAAGGTTGGGCGCAGAGTGGCAGTCTGGATGGCGTCAGTCTCAAATTTCTCCATGAAAATGTTAGCTATAACCGGAGATAGGGGGGAGCCCATTGGGGTTCCCTCAGTTTGTTTGTAGAAAGTTCCATTCCAAGTGAAGTATGTATTGGTTAAACAGTGTCTCACCAGGGGGGGTACCTCAGTGTTTAGTCCTTGATGAACCAAGTCTTCAATGATTGTGATGGTGTCAGGTACAGGAACCTTGGTGAATAAGGAAACTACGTCAAAACTGACAAGCAGGTCGTCTGGGGACAGGGAAATACCCTTGATTGTCGATACCAGGTGAGTAGAATTTTGTTCCGCATAGGTGGTAGTTACATTGGAGAAACCAAACGCCATGTCTCGGACCGCATTCGTGAACACAAAGCAGACCTTAAACACGGTAGGACCAACACCTCGGCCGTGGCAGATCATTGTTATAATTCTGTAGGCTCACATGACATTGACTTTTCCAAGACAGAGGTTCTTTGTAAGCCATCTGGCTACCATGAGAGATTCGTTCATGAGGCTATCCACATATACAAGCACAGAGACAATTTCAACCGAGAAGATGGATTCTGGCTTAGCAATCATTGGAAAGATTTGATAAACCATTTCAGGTCTTAATTGATTGTTCACGCTTACAGTGGCTTTGAGACAGCATACATTAATTTTTCGTCTCCCCCCTCCTCTTTTCAGAACATAGATGGACTAGTCCTTCTAAATAAACTGCCAAATCGCTGCGCGTGGCGCTGACGTTTTCATAAATAAATAAACACACCGTTTAAAAATAAATTTATGCAAACCGACACACCTGATGACGACCGTTTATGTTATGGTAGAAACGTCGTGAGAATTTTTATTGTTTTACATATATTTTATTATTTTATTGTTTCCCTTCAACGTGACTTTACCGAAAGAGCTAAGAATATGAATTACTGCAGTCACGAAAGCTTTAAATCAAAATTTGCTGTCACCTTCTCACCAAGCTGCTTGGCAATGGTCTTGTAGCCCATTCCAGCCATGTGTAGGTCTACAATCTTGTCCCTAACATCCTTGAATAGCTCTTTGGTCTTGGCCATGGTGGAGAGTTTGGAATCTGATTGATTGATTGCATTTGTAGACAGGTGCCTTTTATACAGGTAACAAGCTGAGATTAGGAGCACTCCCTTTAAGAGTGTGCTCCTAATCTCAGCTCGTTACCTGTATAAAAGACACCTGGGAGCCAGAAATCTTTCTGATTGAGAGGGGGTCAAATACTTATTTCCCTCATTAAAATGCAAATCAATTTATAACATCTTTGACATGCACTTTCTGGATTTTGTTGTTGTTATTCTGTCTCTCACTGTTCAAATAAACCTACCATCAAAATTATAGACTGATAATTTCTTTGTCAGTGGGCAAACGTACAAAATCAGCAGGGGATCAAATACTTTTTACCCCCACTGTATATGGTAACATGAGGTAAGCGTTGGTAATAATCATTATTTGGATCATGGTCGTGGTGGTGATGACAATCATGATGAAGACAACGA